TTTCCTATTGTTGGATATAAGTTCTTTCCCCCACATCTTTCACTGCAATCATAGCAGCACTTTATTAACCAGTATTCACACTATTCTGAGTATGTAAATAATGTTCACAGTAGAGCCACTTTTGTATCATTTGTATCACTTTATTTTTGTACAACTTTTTGTTTCAGCTAGAGGTAATAATTTCTTTCTCTTTGCTTAGCATCTATGTGTCTATGACTAGTTTATCACTAAACTCTCCAAATAAAAAATAAATCTCCCTCTTTTAGGCAAGCGGTTTTGGCATGGGTCTTCTGGTCACTCCATTCTCCTGTCCCCATCTAGGCTCCTTGTAGAGTTGTCATCCTGGGCTCTCCCTCTATCATTTCTCTGGACTTTCCATAGTTTCTAACTCTATGGGACTTCTAGTTTCCTTATTTCCCTTTCTATCTTTCATGGTTTATGTCTGTGTTTTGGTGAAGTACACCCACAAATGACTTCTTGCAAAGAGCAAGAGAGAGCATTTTTTTTGAGGCCCAGAGAGTCTGAAACTGTCTTTATTTGGCTTCAACAAATGATTTATAATTTGGCTGGAAGGAAGGTTCTGACTTGGAAATAATTGCTGACAGAATTTGGAAGACCCAGTGTGTGTGTGCTCAGACCTTGCTCCTTTATCATTTATCTCCGGATGTTGCTAAGTCAAATGCCATTCCCACTCACCATTCTTCTAAAGCAACCTGTTATTTTTGGGTGGGACCTTTTGGCTCTTCTCTTTCTTCCTGGTGTCCTGAATTTCACAAAGATATTTCACATCGTGGGTCTATTCTTTATAGGACACTTGGACTTTCATAATCTAGAAACCCATTTTCTAGATGGAACCTTTTATTGTATTGTTTCTTTGATAGTTACTTGCTCTTTATAAGTTAAAAATTTCCTCTTTCTGAAATTCCTATTATTTTGATGTTAGACTTCTGGGATCCCTTGTCTGATTGTACTAATTTTCTTTCTTCCTATTTCTCATATTTTCTTGTGTGCTTGCTTTACTTTCTGGAGATTTCCTCAGCTATCTCGTTATGTCCCCCCCCACCCTTTTTTTAAACATTTTAAGTTAATAGTTCTCTGAAAGTTCCCTTCTAAATGGCAATTTGTTCTTATTTCATGATGCAGAAATCTTCTCTCATTAGAGACTAATAATGCTGCTTTTTTAATTTGAAAATCTTTTCCTGCTTGCTGCATTGTCTTTATTTCCTCCCAGTGTATTTTATTTATTTATTTTAGTGGATCTTTCATGTTAGAGACTTTTCTCAAATGTGTGGTGAACTTTGGTCATATATTCATATTTGAATTGAGGATGCCTGTAGGCTGGTGGCCTCCACGTCTCACTATATGAAGCTGTTTTGGGGGGAATCATTTCTGTGTGGAAGCCCCCAGTTTCTTGCCTGGATGTTGGAGATTTCATAGCTTAACATGTATTGTTTGCTTGGGTCCTCAACCCCATTTTCAGCATGGTATCCCATGTTCATCTTCAGCTATGCCTGAGGGCTCAGGATCTGGATTCTGGCTGATGTTCTCTCTCCAGGGACATTATCTCCTCTAGGAGCATTCCTTTAGGGTAGGATAAGGTTCTTGGCTGAATATATGGAGTGTCAGAGCACATCTGTGGCAGAGATTTTCAAGTATTTCTTCTGTTTTTAATTTTACCTTATAATTCTGCTTTTTGAAATACCTGGAATTATCAATTTATGAGACTCTCTAGGGTTGAGGGGTATAAAATTATCTTGTTGGTTCATTTTGTTCTTTTCCCGCAGTCTTAGGTTTCAGCTTTTTGAATTCACCATACGCACAATTAGGATCATAGTATTTATACAGAGAAGCATATTTTAAAAATTAGTAAAGGAAAGAGAAATACATTATATAAACTATTTTTTGATCTTGCGTCTATTAGTAAAACATGGGTTCAATAAAATAAAATCTGCAAGATGAGATGATAATACAATAGATTTGAAACTGGGGCTGGTTTGAAAGATGAGCAGAAAGTTGAAATGAGTTATAAGAAAAAAAAATGGCTAAAGTAAACACTTAATAACAGCATTAGAAAAGGCAATAAGAGTATAAATAACACCACTGTAAATTTAATCAAAATTATTGAATATATAGTGGGCTTCCCGGGTGGCTCAGCCAGTAAAGGATCTGCCTGCAATATAGGAGACCTGGGTTCAATCCCTGGATCAGGAAAATCCCTTGAGAAGAAATGGATGTTAAATAAATGCTATGCTGGATAAAAATCTTCCAGAATTCTGAGATAATGACCAAGAAATAAGAGAATCAGAGATGAGGTAAGTAATTTGAAGGGTATATTACTGAGATCTCACTTATAGAAAGTAAGTGTTACTGTAGGGGATGCCAGAATGAGTAGGAAGGAAGAAATAATTAAAAAACTAAATAACACTTGACTGGGCTAGTGAATACAGCTCTGATTTTGCAAACTGTATGAACTCAACAAATCCCAGGAAATATTAATGAAAATAGCTCAACATATAAATGTATTCTGATCAAAGTCTTAAAGATAAGAAACAAAACAAAACAAAGAATAATCTGACATGTATCTAGAAAGACAAGACTGGTCATCTACATAAGAAAAAAAAAAGCCAAGACATCCAGCCTTACTGGTTGGATCTCCTTGCAGTCCAAGAGATGAATAGCACACACAAACTCAAGAATAAAGAAGTAATGAAATATAGAAAGAAGAGGGCTATTATCATGAAAAATATTGACCTTAAGTGGTAAATTAAGTAAACAATAAAATGTTAATAATTCTTAAAATACATGTATTTTAAAGTAAGAGTGACTCTTTGAAAGCAAGAAACTAGACCTCAAACACTGGATTATACCACAAAAAGTGGTAGGAAGAAGTGAAAGTTTTCACTTTCTCATCTAAGGAATCTATCTAAAGTTAATAATTAAAGGAAAATACATTTTTAAGCACAGTTGAAAAGTGTGCAAGTGCTAGGTTAATGTCGTATAAATATTGAGAATGGGGAGAGGGAGAGACATAACCTGGATAAAATAGAAAGCAAATAAAACATCAAGGGAGGATTGAAAACACAGAAAGTATCAAAGTGACAGAGTACAAAACTTGTATGGAAACATGTACTATAATGGAAAACTCTGCCTTGTCTCCAGACAGCATAGCTTTCTGAATTGTTTAATTCTAGCTTTGCATTTTCTTCGCATTATTTTACAACTCTAAGTTGTAGCTAACTAATAGCAAAGCAAATTAATCCTTGTCTATAAGGATGCAAATTCTGTCCTGACCTGGACAGTCAAACTACTTTTCTAGGTCTCCGCTTCTCCCCACAAAACACTACTTTGCCTCCATTTATACATTCATGTCAATATCTCTGATCCATAATGTCTTTTCTTCCTTCAGATCCTCTTTTGAACTGGTCATGACTATGTCTGGGTCCCTCATGAGTTAAATAATATCTTTAACTCTGTTCCTTTCTCTGTTCCCCTGGGAGTCAGGATTGAACTTGTTGGAAATTTTTCTCTTGGTGAAACTAATTATTTCAGATTAGTATATATTTAACAGTATCCTGGGCAAGTCAGACAGAAAAAAACAGGGCGAGTAATATTGGTACATGACAAGAATTGATGGCAACTAATAATTAACAGTTTGGGCTGCACATGTGACTCATATGGTAAAGAATTTGCCTGTAATGCAGGAGACCCAGGTTCAATCCCTAGGTCAGAAAGCTCTCCTGGAGAAAGAAATGGCTACCCACTCCAGTGTTCTCAACTAGAGAATTCCATGTACAGAGGAGCCTGGTGGGCTGCTGTCCATGGGGTCACAAGGAGTCGGACACAATTGAGGAACTAACACTTTCACTTTTTTCAATAATAAATAGTAAAAAGAAAGTCAATGTACGTATTTGAATTTTCAATCTGCAGTGAATTTACAATGGGTTCTAAATATATTATTAAGATAGATAATGCAGAAAATGTCAAAAAGTGAGGAAAACTGATAAGGTATAATAGAAGTATGAATCTCTGTTATGCCTCTCCTTTGTACTTGAGGCATGAAACAGGCAGAATAAATTAACAAATGTCCAAGTAATACTATTGGCAATATTGATTTATTGGTCATATATGGAACTTTGCATTCTATAACTGGGTAGTGACATAGCCTTGAAGTTTTCCCTCTGGTAAAGGAACTTTGCGGTCTCAGAAAATTTGATGGGAACCAGAAGAACAGAACCCACTAATTTCATTTAAAAATATATATACTCAGCCGACAACCTTGTCATACCCTTAATCTTACTATGTTCTCCAATTTTATATTTAACTTTCTCAGCTTGGCCCTCATTGAAGCCATCCTAATGACTTATTGATAAATAAATCCAAGAGATGTTTCTCTGAAAAAAAAAATAAAAGAAAATAGACCAGTTCATTTCAGTTGCTCATTCATGTCCAACTCTTTGCGACCCCATGAACCGCAGCACGCCAGGCCTCCCTGTTCATCACCAACTCCTGGAGTCCACCCAAAGCCATGTCCATTGAGTCAGCGATGCCATCCAACCATCTCATCCTCTGTCGTCCCCTTCTCCTCCTGCCCTCAATCTTTCCCAACAGCAGGGTCTTTTCAAATGAGTCAGCTCTTCACATCAGGTGGCCAAAATATTGGAGCTTCAGCTTCAATATCAGTCCTTCCAGGGAACACCCAGGACTGATCTCCTTTAGGATGGACTGGTTGGATCTCCTTGCAGTCCAAGGNAAGCTTATCAACATCCAACAGTTAACACCTGTGAATCTGCTCACTAACAAGCTTTAACCTCCACCAGGTCATGGGTTCTCACAACCCCATGAGGTAGGACGGCAGGGAGTGTAATCCCTGTTTGGAACATATGGAACCTGGAACTCATGGAATTAGGTCCCTGGACTGAACTCACACCACTGGCCAGTGGCAAAATCAAAGCCAGAACTCAGGTCTCCTCACATATTGAGCTCCAGAGTCCACACCGCAAAGTCCCCCGGCTGCTTTTCTGGGAAAGGGGAAGATGCTGGGGGCCAGGACGCTGTCATCCCTCACCCGCCCTCCTGGGAGGTTCTCAGACGGCCCCATTCAGGACGGGATGGGATCGCATGCGATAGATGATGACCGCAGTGGCCGGGCACAGCAGCAAGGAGGTCATGATGACAATAGTGGCCAGGATGATGAGGACAATGACCCAGATGTCCAGGATGTGCTTGGGGAGCACAACTTCCATGGGGATCTGGCTGGTGGCTTCCATGCTGCTTCACTCCGAGATCCGCGCAGCTGCTTTGAAAACCCGCGGCCACCGCCGCTGCTGGATCGTGCCAGGTCTGCGAAAAGTTCCTGGGGCAGAGGCAGCTGGAACGCTTCTCTAGGCGTCCTGGGGACGGCGGGCTCCAGCAGCGGGATGCGAGCCCTGGCCCTCGGACCTCGACAGTCAACGTGCGGGGTAGCTTGGCGCGGCGGGCAGGCGGGAGGGCGCAGGAGTGGCCGGCACGCGCAGTTCCGCACGCGGCTCGCTGCGCTGCGGTGGCTGTGGAATGCACGGCCGCCAGGGACCGCCCCTAATTTTAAACTATAAAGACAGATGATGAAAATGTTTAAACTTGCTACCCCCATCAGTCATGTCCTCTGTTTTCTCCTCACTCCACTTTCCTTCCCTTAGGAGTTTGCCCAGGTCACTCACTCATGAGTGAGTGGGCACCTTGGCATCTCTTGTCAGGTAACAGCTGATGGGGCCAGAAGTACACATTTGTCCCAAGCTGGGCTCATTAGACCTTCTCTCCTGAGAATTTCAGATTTGGAAGAACCAGTCAGTTGGGTTTCCCTGGTGGCTCAGATGATAAAAAATCTGCCTGTGATGCGGAAGACCTGGGTTTGATCCCTGGGCTGGGAAGATCCCCTGGAGAAGGAATGGCTACCCTCTCCAGTAGTCTTGCCTGGAGAATCCCATGGACAGAGGAGCCTGGCGGGCTACAGTCCATGGGGTCTTAAAGAGTCAGAAATGACTGAACAGCTAACACACCTTTGCAGTCAGTTACCTGTGAGAAGAAGGATCGTACATATAGAAAAAGCTGGGAAGCTGGGAGCTGTCATTGGAGTGCAGCTATTCAGCAGTCATTAGCACTGAGCAAGCAGGCGAGTTGGTCTGCAAAAAGAATAATTGACCACAAAAACAATGTATGCTCTTTATTGTGTGTTCATCATGTGACAGTTATTCTTGTAAGTAAGCGCCCTCTGTGAATCAAATCATTCACAGGCACGTTGAACCCTTGAGGTAGATGCTACTACCATTTTTCTCATTTTATATATGAAGAAACCAAGGCACAGAGAGATGAGATGAATTGAAGAGGGATACAGAGGTCAGAGAGATGAATGACCACATGATCTTAGGAAAACAGGGAGGAGAGGCATGGCTCTCTTGGGTCTCTGTGCTTTGCAGGTCCTAGTTCTCGTTCCTTGTGGGACCCAGTTTTATTTTCCACCTTCTGGTTCCAAGAAATGCCTGCGATTCCTTAAGCTATATACTCCCTGTCCTTCACAAGCCTGAATGGATAACAGCCTCATGCGATCTGCTTAACCATGGCTAAGAGGGAATGGATGCTGTGGGTGATTACATATAAAGTGTCTTTGATATGTTTGAATTTTTTTCATTTTACTTTTCAATACAGCCAAAAACTGGGAATAAGCTCTGTACAATCAGTAGCATCTGTTCTCTCAACTCACAAATAATTACAGAGAGTATTCAAAATATGCCCATTAAGGAGAAGGTACTCGTTGAAAAACAGTACTTGACAGATTAAATCTCTAGGTACTTTTTCTCTTCCCCACCTGATGCATAGATACGTAGATGTTTATACACAATTTTAGGGAGAGCTAACGTATTTTAGGGTGGTTACAAACTTCCAGAGCTTCTTTTTCTTAAATTGCATTTTCCCTAGTTTATATATTGGTGCAATGTTGAATTAACTTCATCTAATCAGGATGAGAAGGAAATGGCAACCCACTCCAGTATTCTTGCCTGGAGAATCCCATGGGTGGAGGAGCCTGGTGGGCTGCAGTCCACGGGGTCACAAAGAGTCGGACACGACTGAGCAACTTAACCAGAATGACAATAAACATTTTACTATATCCATCTTCTAGACTAGCTTTGTCAGTTTCTGGATACAAGGCAATTGGTGGTGGCCAAAAGATCATTGCTAGGAAAGGAATACAAAGATAGGAGCCTCATAAATGACTTTTAATGGCATCAAAAATACTTTTGTTGTTGTTTAGTCACTAAGTCATGTCTGACTCTTTTGCAACCCTATGGACTATAGACTGCCGAACTCCTCTGTCCATGGGATTTTTCAGGCAAGAATACGGAAGTGAGTTGCCACTTCCTTTTCCAGGGGATCTTCCTGACCCAGGCACCAAACCTGCATCTCTGGCATCTCCTGCACTGGCGGGCATATTCTTTACCAGTGAACCACCTGGGAAGCCCCAAAATACTTTTATAAGTTGTGAAAACTGGATAAGAAACTTGCTTATTTGAGATCAACACTTGGACTCTTCTTCATAGATTTTATGATATACTGGGCTGTGAATTTTTTTATTTTTTTTTAATGCAGGATTTTAATTCTGGAGATAATTTGCATTTGAGAGTGGTGAGATTATTGAAAAATAATTAATATTTGCCTTGGAGAATCGGGTAGTGTTTCTTTCCCTTATTTTGGTGTAAAAATGGCCTGTAAAACAGCTAGATGGCTATTCTTACCTAGAGGACTCAAAGAACATTTAGTGGCCAAATATTCAGATGAAAACGGAAGCTTTCAGTTAATCATCTGGATGTTTTGTCTACATGAGGGAAAAATCTGTNGTCAGACACTGTTTCCACTGTTTTCCCATCTATTTCCCATGAAGTGATGGGACCAGATGCCATGATCTTTGTTTTCTGAATGTTAAGCTTTAAGCCAACTTTTTCACTTTCCTCTTTCACTTTCATCAAGAGGTTTTTTAGTTCCTAGTGTAGTTCAAACATCCAGTTGTTGGACCAAATGTCCCCCCTTTCCCAACTGGATGTTTTGCCATCAAGTAGACCCAGCCATGGTTTATAGGAATTCAAAATTGCTACCTAATGTCACAGAAAATTATTTGGGGGAAAAACATAGTGCATCAAAGTGTGAAGGTTCTAGATGAACATTATCATTAAGAGTGGGAAGAATGGAGGAAGGGATTATACTATTGACCAATCAGGTTGTGTCACTATTAAGTGTTAGTCACTCAGTTGTGTCCAACTCTTTGCGGCCCCATGGACTGTAGCCTGCCAGGCTCCTCTGTCCATGGAATTCTCCAGGCAAGAATACTGGAGTGAGTTGCCATCCCCTTCTCCAGGGGATCTTCCCAACCCAGGGACTGAACCCAGGTCTCCCTCATTGCAGGCAGAGTCTTTACAGTCTGAACCACTAGGGAAGTCAGGCTGCATCATTACGAAATTGTCAGAAATGACGTTCTCCTGTGGAGGGTCTAATAATTAGGAATAATAAACATAAGCTGGTGGCCCTTACTGATTAAAAGGAAGCCAGTAGCACTTGAAGTGTTTACAAAACTTGAAAGATGTGGAAAGGGACATCCTCTGCTTTGAAATGAGTTGAAAATTCTAAGCTTCATGGAAAGGAGCTAGGAGAGTCTAGTTTCCTCCACTCATTTTATTGGGCTCAGACTAATGTGACCCTGAAGTGTCTCCAATTACAATGTTCTTAACTTGTGGGAATCAGCCTAATAAAAATACTGTAAAGAAATATAGCTCATCCTGCAGCTGTGGACCGGCTGTGTAGATTACCATGGTGCAGGAGTAAGGGTCGTTCTCCAAAAAGCAGATTCCATTTTCTGCACGGCAGTAACGTGAACTTGAATGGAGGCTTTAAATAAGAAGACAATGTTTGGATTCTGATTAAGATCCTAAAATCTGATTTTTAGCCAACTTGTTATTGGCGAAGAACAGCAATGCCATAAATAAAATAGCCACAGATGGGTCTGGATATCTGTTATGAGCAACCATCAAGAAAATGCTTTTATTTTAATTGATTGATATTGAACAAAAGTAGTATTCAGCCAAAACCTTACTGCTAGTCCTGTTGTAATTATTTTTTTAACCAGTTCACCACTGCATTCCAGAGGAATGTCAAGACCTCCTATGGAGGTGCCTGGTACAATGTCCGCACCTGATATGTGTTTGGCTTTGCATACCATGCCTGAAATTGTTCAAGAAATTAATATCTTTTTTAGTTACAAAAGCATAGCTTGTTAGAAAGTAACCTAGATGTGATCTGAGTTTCTTTTTTCAAGCTAACAGTCTTCAGAGAACCTGGGGTTGGGTTAAATTCAGGAATAATATGGGCTATCATTGTTTGTAGGATGGGAATGACTGTTTGAAAGCCAATGCTGACTTTCCAAGGAATTTATCCATAGAATGGAGGAGGAATTACTTCCTGAAGAATTCGACTCTGGCTTAATTTGAGAATATATCTCAAAAAACTCTTCATACTACAGCTAAAGTTACCCAAGTATGATTCAATTAATACACACACACACACACATACGTGTATATGTGTAGTGTGTATGTGTGTGTGTGTGTGTGCCTATATATATGTGCTTCCCTGATAGCTCAGCTAGTAGGGTCAGGAAGATCCCCTGGAGAAGGGACAGGCTACCCACTCCAGTATTCTTGGGCTTCCCTGGTAGCTCAGTTGGTAAAGAATCCACCTACAATGAGGGAAACTGGGGTTCAATCCCTGGGTTGGGAAGATCTCCTGGAGAAGGTAATGGCCACCCACTCCAGTATTCTGGCCTGGAGAATTCCATGGACAGAGGAGTTTGGCAGGCTATGGTCCATTGGTCACAAAGAGTCAGACATGACTGACTTTCACTTCATTTCACACACACACACACACACACACACACACACACACACATACACACGCATATACATATATGCATATACACACATGGGCTACAACATTGTAATACTCTCCATTATTTATATGCCAATGATAACATCCAACATTGTTTAATTTTAACAGAAACAGGAAAAATGATTTTGGTTCAGATAATGCTTTCATGGGAGGAGGAGGAAGAAATACAATGAGTAAGACAAATTTTTTGGTACCAAGTGAGATGCTAGCCATGATTTTCTGAGAAGGCAATGGCACCCTGCTCCAGTACTCTTGCCTGGAAAATCCCATGGATAGAGGAGCCTGGTGGGCTGCAGTCCATGGGGTTGCTAAGAGTCGGACACGACTGAGCGATTTCACTTTCACTTTTCACTTTCATGCATTGGAGAAGGAAATGGCAACCCACTCCAGTGTTCTTGCCTGGAGAATCCCAGGGATGAGGGAGCCTGGTGGGCTGCCATCTGTGGGGTCACACAGAGTCGGACACGACTGATGTGACTTAGCAGCAGCAGCCATGATTTT